CCCCTCGCTCCCCAGGCAGAGGAACTGCGGGCTAGATGTGCAGGCGCTGCTCTGGGAGCTTGCTGAGGGATGGTTGGGTTTTCTCAGTCTTAGTCCTTGGTTGAATTTCCCTTCTCTCTTTTTTCCCTCCCCCTTCCAAAGCCCAGGCTTATTGCAGGGACATGTCTGCAGCACCTGGGGACCGGAGCTGTCCTTCCCCTGTGCTGGTGGGCGCTGTTTTCCTCCCTGTTGTGAGAAGGAGGGGCCTGGGTATGGGAGGTGGGGCGCAGGCAGGGGTTCCCCTGGTGTGTACAGAAACCTGGTGATGTTAGGAGGACCCAGTGTCTGTTTGGGAAGTTTCCTTCAGAGGAGTAAAAATACCCTACAGGCACCTCTGGGACACCTCCCCCTCTCCCAGACAGTCACAGTAGAGCTGACTCAATGCCTCCTCTGTGTGGTGTCAAACTCCTGTGCCCCAGGAGCAGGTGGCTGGCAAGAAGGGAACAGCAGTGTCGCCCAGGTCTCACTCCTCTTCCTCTCCCCTCCAGATTGAGTTTGTGACAGGCACCAAGAAAGGCACGACGACCAACGCCACGGCCACCACCACCACCACGGCCAGCACAGCTGTTGCAGGTAGAAGGAAGTGTCTCTGTTTTCAGCTACACCAGATGGAGTGAGGGTTTTCCTACCCTGTGTGGGAGCACAGACCCTACGGGGACCTGGGCCTCAGCTCCCCCGTTGCTGTGTGTTTCTGAGCCCAGGGTTTGCGAGCCAGCTCTGGAGGCCAGCCGGGCTTGGGTCCCCGGTCACTGGCTGCCCCCTGGCTTTCTGTGACCAGGCCCTTCGGTTTCTGTTCGCTAGGCTCTGGCCTCTAGCCTCCTGAGAAGGGAGGGGGTTGCTCTTTGCCATATCTGGGTCCTCACTTCTCTCTCGCCTTATCCCCAGATGCCCAAAAGAGAAAGAGCAAGTGGGACTCAGCCATCCCTGTGACAACCATAGCCCAGCCCACCATTCTTACCACCACGGCAACCCTGCCGGCTGTCGTCACAGTGACCACCAGTGCCAGTGGCTCCAAGACTACCGTGATCTCAGCCGTGGGCACCATTGTGAAGAAGGCCAAGCAGTGACCCAGGGGACCAGCTTGGGGTGGCTCAGACATTCTCCTTCCATAGAGGGGAGGAGGCACTCCAGGACTTGATAAGATTGCCGCCCAGTGACTGATGCCCGTGGGGAGGTTCCACATTGTATATTTCAGAACTGGGACCTGCTCCCCAGAGGCCACCCTGAGAGGAACCTCTGTGTGGCATTCTAGCCAAAAGAAGGACATTGCCACGGAGGAGTGGGGCGCTGTGGACAGTGTCCTCACACCACTTGGGGTCTGTTGCCCTATTAAAAGTGCTGTGTTCTTCCATCTCGGCATCTCAAATGCATTGGGCTCTTCCACAGTCTGTTTTCAGGCGAATGCAGCAGCTCAGGTGCCCTGTCCATCTTCCAGTTGGGATCATCACTCAGAATTGATGAGGTAGCCCAGGAAGATGCTGTGGACTTTCCCAGCACAGGCCACTTGATGTGGGCAGGTGGGGGCCCAAACAGTGGGTGAGGCCCCTTGTCCCTGCTGTCCTGCTCCCAAAACCCAGCCGGTTCTCATAGGAGCTGAGGCTGCTGATCCCTTGGTGGCAATTGAGCCTCCCCTGCCACTTGGACACACCCAAGCTTTAAAGTCAGGCCAGTTACCAGAAGAGCTGGGGTTGCTCCCCACTTGCAGAGGAAGGGGAGAAGCATGAGCTCCTGGCCAAGTCCGCCTGGTCCCTTGGTGCCCGGCCAGCGAGGCCAGCAGGCTCAGTGCCGCAGGGGAGATGAATCACCTCCTGCCCTGGCTGGGGGCAGCTCATTGTTTACATGAGAGCTGGGCTCCTGGGAGGATCCTGCCTCCACACCCTTCCTGTGCCTGTTATCTCTGCCCCACAGCAGCCCCCAGGCAGTGCCAGTGACCACTGGACTCCTCGTGGGGTCAAAACAGGCTTCCCTGCCGCCACCAGCCCAAAGAGGCCGAGTTTGCCTTTCTCGCTCTTTGTCACCTCTCTGCTCCAGCGGAAGGGCTGTGTGTGAGGGAAGGAAGCCGGGCTGTGAAGAGCTGCGTTGCTTCTGTGGGGCATGCGGAGGTTTAGAAAGATGTTCCTAAAATTGCATTTGGTCTGGCCCTGCCAAGGCAACCACAGGTGGTACTCAAAACTCAATAAATCTAGGAGCTTTTTTCATAGCTAATTCTTAAATTGATAATTTTGTATGGCCTGTGAATAACGTTATAAATATCCAAATGGCTCTTGGCAGAAAAAGGTTCCCCACCCCTGTGTTAAACAATGAATCTGCCCCTGCCATCCCCAAAATAAAAATCAAGTCACACTCACACACACGACTCTGTACTAGAGGACTGTCTCCTCTGATGGGACTTTGCAACCCTGGAGAGAGGACCTGCTGCCCCCATAGTCCCGACGGTTTCTTAAGTGGCTTCCTGCCCTGCAGCCTCCAACAGGTGTGGAACGGGAACAGCAGTAAACATGGACAGCAACTACTGTGGAAAACACTGTTGGGCCTCAAAAAATCTAAAAACAGGACAACCATGTGATCCATCAATCCCACTTTTGGGTATATATCCAAAAAAAACCAGGGTCCCAAAGTTATATTTGTTCATATTCACGATACCCACGAGGTGAAAGCAACCGGGCTCCACTGAAGGTTGATGGATGGACAAGTGTGGCTGGTACTTTCACTGGAATAGTATTCTGCCCGGAAAAGGAAGGAAATATGCGCTACAATATAGATGAGCCTTGAGGACATTACACCCAGTGACATAAGCCAAACACAAAAACACACTGTGTGATTCCACCTTATGAGGTATCTTTACTAAAGGAGTAAAATCCATAAAGGAAAAACTGAACAGTAGTCAACCAGGGGCTGGGGGCAGGGGACATGAGTGCTGGTTAAGAAGTATAAAGTTTCAGTTTGCAAGATGAGAAAGTTCAGGAGATCTGTTGCCCATAAATGTGAATATACTTAACCCTATTGAACTGTGGATTTAAAAATTAAGATGGTAATTTTTATGTTATAGTTTTACTACAATTTTTTTTTAAGAAAATTGGGTTGCTTTGTAATAATAGTAATTTTTAAATTTTCACACAGCCCAGCCGGGTGTAGCTCAGCGGTTGAGCGTCGACCTGGGATCCAGGCAACTGGGGTTCGATTCCCGATCAGAGCACATGCCCGGTTTGTGGGCTCGATCAATGACTCTCTCATCATTGATGTTTCTATCTCTCTCTCTCCCTCTCCTTTCCTCTCTCTGAAATCAATAAAGATATGTTTTAAAAAAAAAAAAAATTTTTAACAGAAAAGAACCATTTCCCCTGTATTTTTGGAGGCACATAGTTCATCTCCTGTTGAAGGGAACCACTTTTTTTTTTTCTTTCTTGAATCAGAAGGATGCCTTCTATTAAATGTAGAAACAGAAGATCACAATTCTGCAACGTCAAAAGAATAATTGATCCAGGCAAGGATTTACAGTGGATGCTAAATCCCTTCAGTGAGAGGTAACGGAACCGGGCAGGGTGACAAGGCCTCATTGCCCCTCTAGATTACTTAATCACAAAGTGAAAAGTTAGTTTCTACGAAGACAGACGGCTGTCACTTCCTAATCACTAGCAGCGAGGCAGCTGACATCCTATGCCACCCATTTAAAAAAACAGAACAACCTGTGACCATCCGTGCCAAAAATGTTTACCTGAATCTAACCAGGCTTTTAGACCTAACCTCCAGTTCACAGGAGGCTAAAAAAAAGCCCGATGACACCATGAGGAAGCAATCAGACAAATCCAGACAGTGCAACGTTCTGCAGGTCAGCTGGCCTTTGAAAGGTCAGTGTGTCGGAGGCCGGGCTGTTTTAGAGTAAGAGAACAAATGGCAATGGGTGACATGCACTGGACTCGAATTCAAAAAGAAACAGTTCTAGCAGACGGTTTGGGGACAACTAAGGACTTTTAGTAAGGATTGAATCAGATACTGGGACTTCCTTGTTCATGGTTTCAGGTGTGATGAAGTTGTGGCTGGGTGGGGGACCAGATGCAAGCCTGGAGTGTGGAGATAGAAAATGTCTTTATATCTTCAACGCAAGTCCAAATAGAAAGATGTATGAAGAGCTCTGCCCGTGGCAGTATCATAGCCGATGAGGCTGATCTGAGGCATGATTATTGCTAATTGAAAAAGATAGGTGGATACATGACAAAGTAAATATGGCAAAATGTTAACTCTTGGTTGGGTCCCAGTTAACAGGTGATCTTTACACTCTTCTTTCAACTTTTTTACGTGTTTGAAAATATTCAGAATAAAGTTAGGGGGGAAAAGTAATTTCAAAGGGGGTCTATTGGCGAATCCCTGGCCCTGGGGAGAGACCAGGCCTAGAGACTGTGCGCCTGAAGGGGCCCTCCCTCAGATGGGTGGTTGGCACTGGATCTCTAGACTGATCACCAAACTGTTTGGATCACATACCCCCGTCTGTCGTCTAACTTATTTATAGAAACATGTACCACTCCACCAGTAAGCAGTGTTTGGTGGGTTAACAGTGGGTGCATCCCTGGAGCTGGCTCTGGAGCTCCCTGAAACAAGCCGGTGGTATATTTCACTCCTCTGGGTTTCCCCAGCCCCTGGGATGGGAGCTCACTAAATGTTTGTAAAATGAGTAAGTGGTTGAACCAAGGAGTGCACAAGCCTGGCCTGCCTGAGCCACGTGCGGAGTGCTGGGGAGTCAGAGCAGCAGCCCAGGGCTCACAGGCTGCCCCATCCCGTCCAAGGGGCCTCACCTCTGGCAGAGCCTAGGGAAGGGAGCCCCCTGCACGCCGGCCTCACTCCAGCCCTAAGGCTGCGGAAAGAGACAGCGAGGTTTTATTTATATAAAATGAACATGTTGTACGAGAATTCTTAACCCTGTGGGGGCCAGTGACCTATCTTGGAGTACAGGGTAAACTAGGACCCTCTTCCCAGCAATTCACATTCGTATATCACATACACCTAGAGTTCTGCACATGATCTCAGATGATTCCCGGACCCCTGCCCCTGCCAAGGTTCAAGCACAGCCTCCAGGTAATGAAACTCCAGACTCCCAGAAACCCGTGGAACCCTGTGTCTAGTCTTCTTAGTCTCCCTGGGGTCTGGCACTCCCAGTCCTGAGTACCTCAACCAAACTGGGGCTCCTTCCACAGTGCTCCCCCAAGTCCAAGGGCCAGCCTCTCTGAGGGCCTGGCCATGCAGAGTATCTCTCAAAGATGACTGGGCAAGGTGGCTGGGAGACAGATGACAGTGGCTCACTCAGTTGGAGTGAGCGTTCGTGTGGCTCCCACACTCTGACAGTTGCCAGGGCCCCAGTCTGATCACGGCCGAGAGCCCTGAGGCTCCGGGGGCCATCCAGCAATCCCACTGGGCTCAACCACACCTCTATTGAGCACCCGCTGTGTGCCAGGCACTGTGCTAGGAGCTGGAGGATAAAGAGACCTGCTGGAGAGCCTACATCCTCAGGATGCACAGTCGGATGGAGAGGAGGGGCCTCCAAAGCCATCATTTCAAACCCACGCGGTGGCTCGGAAAGCTGCATGGTTTGGGCAGGGGGCTGCCATCGGTCCCCGTTCAGTGGCATTGTTGGCAGGTGGGGCTAGAGAAATAGATGGAGTTGGGGGTCCCGGAGCAACTTGAGAGGCTCCAGCTGGAATTCGTTTATCAGCAGCACTTGCAATCAGGCACGCGAAGGACTGGAGGGGTCAGGTTTGTGAACCAGCGTGTCAAGAACTACAGCAGCCCCGTGCCCACTCCCGGCCAGGTGGCGCCTGGCCTCTTGATGGGTGTCACTCAGGAGGCAAGGAGGGCTAAGCAGCTAGCCCGAGGGCACTCGGGGACCCAGCCCTTGCTCTGAACCTCCTCAGGACACACCTTGGGGCTGGGCGGGTGGGGAGCGTGAAGGGACCTAGGGAAAG